TCCTACGTGAACAAACCGCTGCCCAGTTAGCCCAATGGATAGTGCGCTGGACTGTTGTGCGGGAGGTCGAGGGTTCGAGCCCCGGCCGGACCAACACTCAAGGTCTTAAAATAATTGAGAAGAATTTGCTACCTTTCTATAACATCTAGAAATGGTTAGATATTCTAGTCTTCTCGGATAGGGACGAATAAATGGAGGTCCCGTCTCCTGCAGGGCTGGGGGTAGGAGACGTTAATTTCTCACGCACAAGATTACTGTGTGATAGATGTCCTCCGCGGGGTGGGATGGTGGGTACAAAGGGGTTAGGTGTCAATTGGGACGAAAGTTCTGTTCCTTTCTCCTGCCACTCCCGTGGCGAATGGATTAAACTTAAACTAAACTAAACTATTCAGTCAATTGCAAGTTGGAAAAACGATTTGATTTTATTTAAAGCCAATTACGAAGAGCCAGGGCTTCAAATAATTTTTTTGGACAGCTGCCAGACATTTTGACATGGCAGACAATTTTAGTTATGTCATGTGTCATTTCTGACCGTGTCGACATCTATATTCTGCTGATTTGTAGCCGCACACAACTAACATACTTTATGATTTAACAGACGAGTGTATGATTTCCATGTTATAATATTTCTCTAATTATTTACTCGAAATTAAAGCCGTGTATGCGAGAATTAAATTTTGAATGAATAAAATGTCATCTTTCCTGAACACTCTCTGTTAATCCTTTTATTCCCAAGATCTTATTATTTATTCTTTCCTTGCACCTTAGTAACAAGAATTTGGTATATTAGATCAAAACAATAACTTCTACCTGATGAGTTTGGGTATTCTCATGACCTTTTTGCTGGATCCTGTAAGAATATTAGGGAGAAGTTAGAGGTTAATCATTTCTGGGAGTTAAAGGGTTAACTGCAAGCCTCATATTTTGAGCTTTGTAGGAACCGTACTGTGGAGTTGCAGATTAATTTTGAATAGTTGCTCAAAAATGTGTGCTTTTTTCCCACATCCCCTATCGAGGAGGTAACAAAATATATACATATATTATCTGATCGACTAATTAAAAATAACAATGTATATGCAGCATGATTGTGTGTCCTGCTCAATTCAAAAATCTACTCAAATTGAAATAATTCCACTCTATTTACGTCTGTGTTTATGTTCAGTCGGTAAAATCATAAAGATATCTCACCAACTATCTACAGTTAAAAATAGCTTGAATGTCAGTCTACAAACATATAAACACTGTCTATATGAAAGTAAAGTGAAGAAATAGAAGATCTAATTATATTGTTATTGTCGCGTTCTCAGTGTAGTGTTCGACCAAACACGAAGACTATGCAAATCAATGTGTTTATTTGTCTTCAGTGTTGAGTGGTGAAACTAAATGCAAATAAAGTACAGAAAATGATGAAATGGAAACAAAAGGCAGAAAATACAATAAGGGAAAACAATAAAATAACAGAAAGATAAAAACTTACATGGATGGTGCTGCGATGAGTGATAAACTGACAAATAATGAGGTTGTAAAGTGAACTCTGCTGAAACTAAAGATGCAACACA